TAACAGAGTATGCAAGGGACTTACTTGGACGACGAGGTCCATTCCACCGTCATAAATTCTGACGGGGCCAAGCTTATTAAGATAGGCTCGGTCTTCAACTGGGACGGCTTGTGAAAGCACATCATGGCCGTCGACAACATCATTGAAGACGCCTCCCTTTACAGGGTACTCAACTTCCAGCTTGTAGGTCCCCGTGACCAGCTCCTTCTCGGTCTTCCTCTTCCGGGAGTCCTAGACGACAAAGGGAGACTGGGAGACAACAGTGGATGAAGGAGCAGATACCGGGTCGACTACAATGACAACATTGGAACCTCCAGCGTCTTCGGCCGACACGGTCGTAGCATCGGCATCAGCCTCAACCGAGGGAGAAGCCCTCTTTGACTTCTTGGCAGGCTGCATGCCGGCCTCAGTCAGCTTCTTCTGGCCTTTGTCAGCCTGCCGTTTCTTCTTCGGCTGGGTGGGTGGTTTTGACGTCTGAGCAGCGCTCGACTGTGCTCCGGCCTCGGCGGCCTGCTTTGCAGCATCCTTTGCGGCCTGTTTGGCGGCCACCTTCGCCTTCGCCCTGATCGTGACAGATCGGTGATCCATGACAAAGTATGCACAAAAGAAAACAAACATTAGCAAAGCACACAAAAGAAATTTGGATCAAGTACTTTGGAAAGGCATTACCATCGGCTTCGGCAGGCACGTCCAAGTCCGGGGCATCGGCTTCCTCAAAAGTGGTAGTCATCTTCGGCCAAATTTCGACGACATCATCCGCGTCCCCATAGACTAAGTATCTCACGAAGCCGAGGGTGACCATCTTATACTCTGTGATGTACTCCTTCACGCTCCTCGGCCCCCCTTCCAAGAACGCCGCCACCTGAGCGTCCAAAATCGAACTCTTCGGCACATCATGGAGGTTAAACCTCCCGTTGTGGCTGACGGAAGGAAACTCAGTCCCACCCTCGCCCAGAGATACGAAGACAAATTTGCTTTTCCACCCATGGATAGACGTCAGAAGATCAGAGGACTTCCTATTCTTCACCTGCTGCAGATTGGCATAGTCGGCACAGTTCTGGTGGCTACCCCGACCTATCTGATACACGTCCATAAAGAGGGCCATTATCGGCTTGAAATTAGACCTGGACAAAACCGGGCCGGGCCGTCCGGCCCGCCCAGCCCGCCCGCACAAATGGCGGGCTTGGGCATATATTTACCCACCGGCCCAGTCCGAGCCCAACCCGCAATAAGATATGGGCGGGCTTGGGTTAGGGTGTAGGCCCGTTCGGGCCGATAGGTCCGGCCCGCTACATTTAGTATATATAAATATATATATATTTATATATATACTAATTTATTTATTTATTTGCATATACACATGTATATTTATATTTACTAATTTTTCTTTATACATATTTATAGTTTATTATGTTTAAATTTAAATTTTTAGTTCTTAACAACTAGCCCGACCAATATAATATCTATTTTTGTACTTAGAGATAATACTTCGCGCTTAAATTTTAAATTTTAGATATAGTTTCTCATTATTATTTGTGTGTAAGTATTTTTTTTGTATGTGGTGAAAGACGTATAAACATTATAAGCGTATTAATTATTTTCTAAATGTTGTAATATTATTTTTAAAGTATTTAAAAACTCATATAATTTTGAAAAACTTAAAGTATTCCCGGCCCGGGCGGCCCGGTGGACTACCCGGCCCGCTCTTATGGGCGGGTATGGACATAGGGTTAGGCCCGTTTTTGCGGGCGGGGCCGGGCCCGCCCACACATGATGGGCAGAAAATTTATAAAATGCCTGGCCCGAGCCCGGCCCGAACCCGTTTTGTAGAGGTCTACTTGAAATCTAAATTGGCACATCGAAGGAGAAAGTCGATGATCAACGAATAGCTATTTGGGGTTAGCAGGGTCGGAGGAAGCTCCACCATGTCCAAATATTCAGTAATGAACGGATGAAGGGGGAACCTGAGCCCCTTGGCAAAACTCATGGGGTATACCCCAAAGTAGCCTGACGGTGGATTAAGTACGTGGTTCGTGGGCTTGGGCGCCCTAACCCTACCAAACGGTCCAACGTACATCTGGGCAACCAGGTACTCGACCGCACAGCTCTGCGGCCTGATGATACGAACGTTGGTGAGATCCAAGAAGGAGAAAGCGGGACCCTTCTTCGGCCGGCGCCTTCTCTTCGGGGCAGTCCCCTTAACGGCAGACACCGGCTTTGGGCAAGGAATAGTAGCCGACGTAGATGCTCCGTCCACGGCATGAGAGACCCCTACGTCCTCACCTTCAGATGACGAGGCGGCCTCCTCGCCCTCTTGCTCCCCTGACTTGAAGGAGCTCAAATCCTCTATCTCCTCGCAACACTCCCCCACCACTCGGTAGTCAAGGGATTTGACAGAGGCCTCGTCGTCATACAGGTAGTACTCTTCGTCCAGGGTCTTCATCTTAACAGCTAACGGAGCCCTAAAGGGAACTACTTTAGATCTAAGGTTGATTTTTGACTAACACTAGATCAACACCTAGGGAAGCAAAGTATATAAAAAAGAGGAGAAAAGTTAAAAAAAAAAAGAGGAGAAAAGTTTGATGAACTGACCTTTGAAGTTTTGAAGAACACTCAAACAAGCCTTTATCTCTCTAGAAATTTGGGCAACGCTTCGTTATCTCAGAATGCAATAGGGAGTTCCTTCGGAAGGAGGGGGGTATTTATAGACCCCCCTAACGGTCACTACACGTGGCACCCCCCATTGGCCACATGAACGACCACCACTCCCAAGGTCCAATAAGCTGTCACTGGTTAAGAAAATAGGCCAGACCCACTTCCATCAGTACCAATCCATTGCCAACGTACCAGCAGTCAGCATCCATAACGGCCAAGGCATTCAACGGCCACACCAAGAAGAAATATCTGCCTCCACAGGGCACGACTACATCTGCCTTAGCAGCCAATAATCATTTCAACGGCTGGTCACACCACAAAGTGTGCCCATACCGGCTTAACACGCTGCCAACAACAGGGCCCCTTCAATGGCCACAACAACAAAGCAAAAAAAAACCAACAGTCATCGTCCTTGTATAAAACCCTGATGATAACTTCTTGAAAGCGACATGCGTCCAAGTGTTCTCCCACAGGGTTACCTTGGTCAGGAATCGCCAAGGGGTTGGATTCAGGGGAATACAAGGATCCCGCTTCGGCCGAGTGTTACACCTTACTCCTTCACCCCTCGCTCCCTCTTCGGCCTGAAGCAGTGGGGGACTGGGGGGCTACACCGGCCTCTGGAATATTAGAAAGGACAAAATCAAAAAATCCAAAAAACACACCAAGTCCACAAGCTACAACAACATTATGGCATATATGCACCATAACGTCCAGGACCTTGTAGTGCACCCTCGGTCGCAACAAAGCCAACAAACAAGGAAATATAACTCACCTCCCAAAACGTGACGCGTGACGTCCCTTGACGCGTACCACTCAATGGCTTTGAGATCACGTACTCCACTCTCGGCCAAGATAAGAAAACAGGAACCCAACGTCCTCGGGTCACCATCGTCCATGAGATCAGAATACGCACAACTTCTTCTGGATCAGTGCCACTATCGACCTCAAAGATGGACACCAAACTACGAACATCACCGCTTCGGCTTGAAGCACGAAGGCAATCATGAGGCCTCCTCGACCAAGACACCAAAAGCAACCACCAACGATCAGGAAGAAGAAACATCACCCGCATCGGCTATTCAGATCGAGAGCACATATCGGCCACCGAGCCAGGACACTCATCGTTCTCAAACAAACTTACCCCATCAGAGGAACATCAGCCTTCTTCGTCCACAGTGAAGGCATACGACGGCCAACACGAAGAACCAAAAGAGGAAATGGCCACAACGACCATAACGACCAGAAGACATCAAGACTATGGAATCTACTCTCCCTCACTTTGTCTACATCTCAGCTCAGAGAGTGGGGGACTCCTGATGGAGTATATGGGTCTAGACCCCAGGACCCACATACTCAGAAGAATAAGAGGCGCAACTGTCACCCAGTGGGGCCTCCGTCGGCCAGATGACCCTCCATCGGCCAGATGGCCCTCCATCGGCCAGATGGCCCTCCATCGGCCAGATGGCCCTCTATCGGCCAGAAAGATATCAACTCAGAACATGGTCCAGAAGCCAGGAGAACCGGGTGTCCCCGTCGGCCATGGCTCCGTCGACCACAAAGAGCTCACAGAATCGGACTTCACACTTAATTACTTCTACATATTTTGTACTCAGCCCAATAGTGGCCCAATTGTAAACGGGCCTCCCAAGCCCAAGACCTGGGAGGTGAGACCTAATTTCCTCTATAAATACTCCCCTTGGGAGTAGTTGTAGGAGGGGGTTTACAAATCATTTATTGCAAGTATTTATTGCACTTTTTTTCTCTAGCTCTCCTCTATCTAGATATATACTCTATCATATAATATTACTTTAAATTCACATATTGGATACATATGAGTTTATTGTAGATATTTTTAAAACTAAGAAAAAAGTGAATTATAAAATATGAAGCTTATATCACGATTCCCATTATTAGATTCTCAATATTCAATAGGATAAATCCGATACTCCTTCCGTGTCATTTAAAGGTTATAAGTTTCCCTTTTTGGACATCCCACTTAAAAGTTCACACTTTCTATTATAGGAAACAATTAACACTATTAAATAACAATTCAATCATCAAATTTTATAAATAATACATTATATTATACTCCCTCCGTCCTTTAAAACTTTGTCATCTTTCCTTTTTGGGATATCCCAAAAAATTTTGTCACTTTCCCTATTAATCAATTATTTTGTGGTTTCTGTTATTTCTCTCTTCTGCACAAACTTCAACCATACAGTTTTTACTTTATTATTCTACATTACGATCAACTTTAGCAAAATTTTAAGGGAGAGATGTAATATTTTATACTAATGAAAATTATTGTCTAACAGAGCTACCCGTACTTACTCGCACATTAGATTTTGACACGATTTTCACTGAGGTGACCCAAAACAAAAAACTGCCCGAACAGAGAGACTTCCAAAGTTTCAGTCGCAAGGTAACTGTGATGGCGGCCTGCCATTCCATCGGCACTTCGTGCTCCGAAGGGGATCTCAGCTCAGCTCTCCATGCCGAGCTGCAGTATCTGCGAAACAAAGTCAAGGTTATCCATTTCCTTTCATATCCACTAAAAGCAGCTTAGTTTTTAAATCAATATCTAAATTCACCCCTTGGCGTTAATGCTATTCCAGGAGCTGGAGTCTAGGAATGCCAAATTATCTGCCATTTTGTCAAATTGTAACTGCCAGCAGGTTAGTGCTCTAGTTTATAGGTGTATGGTCATATACATCCAAACGTGGCTATGCATTTTTTATGTTTCACGTAGTTCTACGTGAAACGGAATAGATTGCTAACGTCCTAAAGGGAAACGCTTCTAAGAGCACTTCTGAGAGCAGGGACTTGAATAAAGAAGTGAAACGCTTAAATTTAGACTGCAAGGAGGTCAGCATGAGTAAAACCAAGGAAATTGGTTCAGGTTTGTTTAATTAAGCTCAAAGATGGATGCAGTATGATAGTAAGAATTTTTTAGTAAACGAGTCACATTTAAGAAATGTCATGTGTAATAAACATTGATTTAGTTTTTTGCTGTTTTCGAAATCTGGCAATCGTTCACAGGGGCGGAGCCAGAGCACTGGGCGGACTGGGCCGGCACAAAGAATATTTTTAGAAAAAAATTTAGACGAAATTTTTTATCTTAAAAATTAAGCCATTTTTAAAATTTGGGGTGGGCCATGGCCTAGGTTGGCCCACCCCTAGCTCCGCCCATGCGTTCACATTTAGACCAAATATCAGACAAACATGCATTTAGCTCTACAACTATAAGTAGGGGTGCAAATGAGCCGAGCCGAGCCCGAATCTATATAGGCTCAAGCTCGAGCTCGAAATATATTGTATTGGCTCGAGCTCGGCTCGAACAAGCTTAACAAATCGGGGCTCGAGCTCGACTCGCAAATATTTAGTTGGCTCGATTAGGCTCGATTGGCTCGATAATTTTGGTTCGTCAACACAAAAGTTACAAGTTCGATTAGCTCGAAAGTTCGGGTTCGAACTCGAGCTCAATTGCTCAAGTATGAAACAATCTTTGAATATTTGTGCTTAACATCTGCAAATTGCAATTTGCAATTTACATGCCCAACAACTAAAAGTAGAGTAAATGTTATCCAAAATAAATAAAAAATTGTCAAACCATGAAGATTAAACTGAAACTAGAGTTACGGGAACGAAAAATAAACAAAATATAATTCTAACTCCAAGTCTCCACCCAATTGTACTTCTAATGTAAATCAAAAGTGGTCACATCATGAAGAAATAGTGCATGAAACTTTCATTATTTTTGTTAAATTACTTTATAATTAATAATATTTCCCCGGTCCTCATATACTTTTACCAATCAGTATTATATATTAATATATATATACATTATCATATATTATATATACTAAAATATATTATATATTAATTTATATTGTATATTAACATATTATATATATTAATATAAATATACGCACATATAAAACTAGGCTCGCAAGCTAACGAGCCTAAAATTAGTAGGCTCGTTTATGGCTCGACTGCTTAACGAGCTGGCTAGAGCTCGGCTCAAGCTCGAGTTTGACCGAACACGATTCGAGCTTTGACCGAGCGGCTCACGAACGGCTCGGCTCATTTGCACCCCTATCTACAAGTCTCATACTGTCAATGGTATGCATTGAAATGTTTATTTTCTTGCTGCAGGTATTTGCCCTATGACTATGTTGGAGCCTCCCAAGAGATATGTTGCTTTGAAAATCATGTACTTTGGACAAAGGTACATGTCACTAGTTCGGTACTGCAGCCATTAGCCACGCAGTACAGTAATGGGCATAGCTAGGTCCCTAGAAAATCAAATTTTGACTGGGATGGAAAACAATTCACTCATAAAGTCATAAAGTTTTTTCAGTAGAAGTTTTACAATTAAAAAAATTATATTACGGGTAGACCAGGGTCTAGCTTGCCCCCCTCTAATTGCGCCAATAAGTATAGACCGTAAAGTACACTCGTTATTCCTCGTTAGGCTAAAAAATGGAGATAGCGAGAACTTAAATTTCCACCCTTTTTTAAATGAGGTCTTCTTGAGTGGACAAGTGGTTATGTTTAGAACTTAGATAATGAGTGAGCAGTGGAGAACTGTTTGATATGGATAAGCCAAAAATGTAAAATATGATAAATGATAAATTGCCTTATTGGATTTTAGTTGCTTAGGTAGTTGGAGACTTAAATCAAGGCAAATAGGTATCAGTGTAGTAAATATGAACCGGGTTTCGACCTTTCATTGCAATGAACATTTTACTACGAGCTAATATGTGATTATATTTGACTATTTTCCTCTTTTACTGATTGATATCACATTTAAGTAGATTACCATAATGCTATTAAAGTTGTGCACACTCCGCACAGTCGGTAAAGATTCAATGAAGATAGCATAGTTTTTGTTAAAGTGAATGCACCTAAAGTTGTATAACTTTATGATGGTTGAATCACATTTAGATAAGTAGGAAAAAGCCTGAAAATGATATATCAAAGGGAATATATGCCTAGCGAATTTTGAATGTTTATGATATCTTTTAATGGACTAAGCAAAGATCTTCAAACTTCACTATGAGATTAATAGGGGTATCGGTGGTTTTTTAAATTATATTGTTACAAAAGGAAGAAATGGATGCGTATAATAATATAGTATATTGTGGATCTTCAAAAGTAACCACAATATAGTATATTATTAGTATCTGGGTATAATTCAAAATTATATATAGTTACATATCATGTGTGTACTCCCTCTTGTGTTCTTTGTAGACCATATCTTATTTTCAAACATTTCACATTGTTTGGTAACTGTCTTTCTTGTGTTAATGGAGGTTTTATGGCTTTGCTTCAGAGGCACAGATGGAACCAACAGTGGAGGTCCGCTTTCCGGCTTTGCTTTATATTACATGCACCTCTTTTTACAGTTAACAAATATTTTATCATCATTGGTCAAAACCATACCCAAACTTACCATGTGCATTTTTCTGTTCATTTCCCCATTCATTATTATGTTGAATAAACAAATTTCAAAATCAACATGAAGAGTAAAGTGGTGTAGTTTGATGTGTATGAGAATGTAAACCCTAGGGGTTGTATGGTATCAATGGGCTTAACCCAACACGTGCCTTAGGCATATAAGTTTTACATATATTCCTCAAGACATATTTTATACAGATCTACATGCAAATTTCTTTGATGTTTTCAAAACGGTTCTGTAGAAAAATGTAACATGTATTTGTTATTTTAATTATTTGTACATCCGGAACTGTATAGATAAGACTTAGAGTAGATAGAACTCTCTAACTAGTAGATAAGCTCGCAGAATAGATAGATCCTATATTTTAGGATCTGTAACAACTAGGCTTTATCTGTAACTTGTATATATATCATTGCCGGATGGCTCAATAATATTCAAGGAAGATTAATTCTTCAAACCTTCATGGTATCAGAGCCTCGGTTTAAACAATGGTACAAACCAGTGATGCTGATTCCTCACACACTATCAACCCTAACTCCCAAATTAGCCCTATGACAAATTACCAGTCTCCTATTCATTCATCTATGATAATCACTAGTCATAGATTGAATAGAACAAACTATCTGGAGTGGTCTCAATCTGTCAGACTTGCAATTGATGGAAGGGGAAATCTGGGTTACATCACAGGAGAAATCAAACCAAAACTACCTGCAGAAGAAGGTTACAGTACATGGAGGTCAGAGAATTCACTCATAACAACTTGGCTTCTCAAGTCCATGGAGCCCTTAATTGCCAAACCTCATATGTTTATGAAAACTGCAAAGGAGGTATGGGACTCTATTAAGGAAACTTATTCAGATCTTGAGAACTCTTCTCAAATTTTTGAACTCAAAACCAAACTGTGACAATCTAAACAAGGAAATAGGGATATTATTTCATACTACAATGAAATGGTATCTCTGTGGCAAGAATTAGATCAATGATATGGTGATGAAGAGTGAGAGAGTGCTAAGGATCTGGCCAGACATAAGAAAAGAGAAGAGAATGATAGGGTCTATATGTTTCTAGCAAGGATCAATAGGGACCTAGATGAAGTAAAAGGCAGAATACGGGGAAAGAAACCTCTGGCCTCAATCAGAGAGGTCTTTTCTGAGATCAGGTTGGAAGATAGCAGGAGGAGGGTCATGTACAACACTCCAATACCTAATGAGGAACCTGGGGACTCTTCAGCTTTAGTGGCCAGAAGTGATGACAAGAAAAAACCTTGGTGTGATCACTGCAAACAATTGTGGCACACGAGGGAAACATGCTGGAAATTTCATGGAAAACCACCAGGAGCTGGAAAGAAGAAAGTTGAGAGGGCCCTACAAACTACTGTGACTGAGACTCAACAAGAGTCAGGAGTTGAATCTAAACAGCTGCCTTTCACTCAGGAACAGATAGAGTACCTACTCCAATTTATACCCACCCAGAAAATCTCCAACCAAGAAAACCCTTCATGTTCTTTTGCCCAAAATGGTAAAATAACATCATTTTTTTGTTCTGAAAAACCAAAAAACACCTGGGTCATTGACTCAGGTGCAACAGACCACATGACCTACATTCCAAATCTCTTTTCTTCATATCAACCTTGTGCAGGAGATAAGAAAGTTAGAGTTGCAGATGGCTTTTTTTCAGCCATAGCAGGGATGGGAAATATTAAAATTTCCTCATCCATTAACCTTTCTAAAGTCTTACATGTTCCAAAACTTTCCTGCAATCTTATCTCTATTAGAAAAATAACCAAAGACCTTCAGTGTTGTGTAAAGTTTTATCCTTCTTATTGCATTTTTCAGGATCTGGCATCGGGGAGGATGATTGGAAGTGCTAGAGAGGAGGATGGCCTATATGTTTTTGATGAAGGAACACAATTGAATAAACAAGGTCAAGAAAAAACTTGTCTGCAAACTATTTCCTTTCCTTGTAATAATGAAGTGTATTTAATGCACTATAGATTAGGTCACCCAAGTTTTTCCTATCTAAAAAGGTTGTTTCCTAAGTTATTTCATAATAAAAATCCTTCATCATTTCATTGTGATGTGTCCACTTGCCAAACATCATAGGAGCTCTTATATCCCTCATAGTTACAAGCCAACTAGTCCTTTTACTTTTGTACACAGTGATATTTAGGGTGCATCTAGAGTTTCAACTTTGAAAGGAAAAAGGTGGTTTGTAACTATCATAGATGATCACACACGGGTCACATGGGTTTTTTTGATTAAAGAAAAATCTGAGGTTGAAGAGGTGTTCAAGAAAATTTACTCAATGATTCAGACTCAATTCAATACTAATATCAAAATTGTGAGAAGTGATAATGGTCTTGAGTATTTTTCTAAGAAGTTAATTTTTTTTTGCTGAAAAAGGGATTATTCATCAAAGTTCCTGTATAAATACACCTGCTCAGAATGGAATAGCCGAGAGGAAAAATAGGCATTTGCTTGAAGTCACTCGTGCAATTATGTTTTCTGCTAGAATTCCAAAATATTTATGGGGAGAAGCTGTTTTACATGCTACCTATTTAATTAATAGGATGCCATCAAAGACTCTAGGATTTAAAACTCCCATTGATACACTTCAAGCCAGTTTTCTTGAAACTAGGCTTATTAACTCTCTTCCCATAAAATTTTTTGGTTGCACAGTTTTATTACCAACCCTGACAGAACTGCAAGCAAATTTGATCCTAGAGGCAAAAAATGTGTTTTCTTAGGACTATCTTCAGCACAGAAAGGCTATAAATGTTTTGACCCTACAACAAAAAAGATGTTTGTAACAATGAACACTGTTTTTGTTGAAAATCAATTTTTTTTGGTACTCATCTTCTGGGGGAGATTCCTAATGAAGATGGTGATAATGTGTCACATATCCATGAAAAACTTGAATTTCTTGACATTAGTCTAGATGCACCTTATAATAGAGAGTTAGATGCACTAGAAAATAGTCAAGAATCAAAAGAAAATGAAATAAAATTTTCTGAGACAAGGAAAGATGATGAACAACAGATAAGTAAATTTTTTGGCAAGGTTTATGAAAGGAGAGTTCCAAATCAAAGAATAGAGGACATCCCTGATCCTGCCACTGCTCATGAATCTGACTCAATGTCAGAAAATGACAAAGGTAATAATTCCAGTGATCTAAATCTACCCATTGCTCTCAGAAAAGAAAAAAGATCATGTGTTAAATACCCTATCTCAAACTATTTGTCCTATTCTCAGTTATCTGCATCATTTGCAGCCTTTACCTCTAGTCTTTCCACTGTTTCTATTCCCTTAACCATACAGGAAGCTCTATTTAAACTTGAGTGGAAGAAGGCTGTTTTAGAAGAAATTAATGCTCTTGAAAAGAATCAGACGTGGCAGGTTGTGGAATTACCCAAGAACAAACCAACAATGGGATGCAAATGAGTATTTACCCCTAAATTCAAGGCAGATGGTACACTTGAAAGATATAAGGCCAGATTGGTTGCCAAAGGATATACACAAACCTATGGCATAGATTATACAGAAACTTTTGCTCCAGTTGCAAAATTAAATACTATAAGGATCCTTCTATCTCTAGCTGCTAACCTAGACTAGCCTCTTCAACAGTTAGATGTGAAGAATGCTTTCTTAAATGGGAAGCTTGAAGAGGAAGTATACATGAGCCCCCCTCCTGGGTTTAAGGAACAGTATGGCTCAAAGGTGTGCAAGCTGGAGAAAGCCTTATATGGACTTAAACAGTCCCCAAGGGCTTGGTTTGACAGGTTTACTCAATTCATAAAGAGGCAGGGATTCAAGCAAGCCCAAGCAGACCATACACTTTTCATGAAGTTCTCAAGTAAGGGAGAGATTGCAGTGTTAATTGTTTATGTGGATGATATCATTCTTACAGGAGACTATTATAAAGAGATTGAAGACCTGAAGAAGAAGCTGGCTCAGGAATTTGAGATCAAAGACTTGGGAGAATTGAAGTACTTTCTTGGCATGGAGATAGCCAGATCAAAGAAGGGAATTGTGGTATCTCAGAGGAAGTATGTACTAGACCTACTCCATGAAATAGGTATGAGTGCCTGCAGACCAATAGATACTCCAATTGATCCTAATCAAAAGTTAGGAGATGTCAAGGAAGGAGTACCAGTTAATGTTCAACAATATCAAAGATTGGTGGGAAGATTGATTTATCTGGCACATACAAGGCCAGATATTGCCTTTGCAGTTAGTATGGTTAGCCAATTCATGCATAATCCATTCTAGGAACATCTAGATGCTACCTACAGAATCCTAAGGTATTTGAAAAGCTGTCCGGGGAAAGGATTATTTTTTAAAAAGGGTGACAATAGAAGTGTGGAAGCTTTTACAGATGCAGATTATGCTAGCTCAATAACTGATAGAAGGTCTACATCTGGGTATTGTACCTATGTATGGGGGAATCTAGTGACTTGGAGGAGTAAGAAGCAGAATGTGGTTGCTAGAAGTATTGCAGAATCTGAATTCAGATCTATGGCTAATGGAATCTGTGAACTGCTTTGGATCAAGAGAGTGGTTTCAGAGTTGAATATGAAAATGGAACTACCTATGAAGTTATATTGTGATAATAAGGCAGCCATTAATATTGCTCACAACCCTGTGCTACATGATCGTACTAAACATATTGAAGTGGACATGCATTTTATCAAAGAGAAGATTGAAGCTGGAATTGTGTGTACACCATTCATATCTACCAAAGAACAAACAACTGATATCTTTACAAAGGGGCTGTTCAAACCAGTGTTTGAACTACTTATAAGCAAGTTGGGAATGTATGATATATACTTACCAACTTGAGGGGGAGTGTAGAAAAATGTAACATGTATTTGTTATTTTAATTATTTGTACATCCGGAACTGTATAGATAAGACTTAGAGTAGATAGAACTCTCTAACTAGTAGATAAGCTCGCAGAATAGATAGATCCTATATTTTAGGATCTGTAACAACTAGGCTTTATCTGTAACTTGTATATATATCATTGCCGGATGGCTCAATAATATTCAAGGAAGATTAATTCTTCAAACCTACATGTTCAAATACACCAATGCCCATTTTTTTATTGTTCCATAAATCCAGAAAATTGTGAATTTGTTCTTGTGACATTTAGAACTATAATTTTATGGTTGTATTTTGTTTTAAAATGTATAAAACAATATCAACCACACAATTATCTCACGAAAAGGAATTATAACCGTAAATTGAGACCCTGAAATAAGGAAAGTGAGAAAGACGGAGTATTATCTTTCATAAGCACATACTTCTTCTCCAGGTTATCACTCAAAATTTAAATCTCTGATTTTCCTCAATCATGCATGAGAATCCAAAGCTAGACATCATGGACACGGCTTGTTATTTCAACTTCCCTTTGACTGATTACTTGAATATATTTGTGGTGTTCTTCAAGTTCTCCTGAATGGAAGCAAATGTCGATCTTAGTTAGTTGCTTATTGAAATTGCACTAGCTTCTTCTTCTTCTTCTTATACTTCATATTTACTCCAATTTTGTATTGTATAGTTTTATGTACTGATGTACAATGATGTTCAAGATTGACAGTGTTTAAACTTCAGCTGCATTCCTATCAATACTAGGCTCTTTAAACTGATGCTATTAAGTTATAATCAACCCATCTTATGTTTCTCACTATTTTTTCTGCAGTTATATGAACTTTTGCTTATAGATTAACTTTTACCTTTCTGTTGGGTGGTGGTTCTGTGTCTGTCACAATACCCCCCCCCCCCCCCCCCCATGAGACTTCTTTGTAATGTGGAAATGATGTCGGCTTAAAAGTTTAAAGAACTCCTTATTATGGACTCATAAGTGAACTGTAGAATCAAACGTTAGCATCAAATTGTGTAGCAAGGGTCTATCTGGTCCTTCTTTCTATAAGGTGGGTAGTTTCTTTTGTCCATTTTTAGGTTATCTCGTGTAAAATCTTCAAGTAGCATGACTATTTCTGTGTGGTTTTTGGCTATTTCTCAGTCTGAAGTATTTAAGGCCCTTGACAAGACAAGGCTTACATTTGGAAACAAAAGAGACTTGATGTACTCGAGATGTGGCAGAACAGACAAGGGAGTTTCTTCTGTTGGCCAGGTATGTTGATAACACCTGCTATTTTATAGTTTTTTCTGAATGTTTTGCAATTTCTGAATGTTTTAGTCTAACTTGATTATAGAGTGACTAATAAGGTGGTTAATTTATGTGGCATTTGGTTGCCCAATTGTTGAGGTGTTTCCTTGCTCATGTTAATCCCTGAATTGGAATCAAATAATCTTTAGTTGACTATAGGTGATTACCTATCTCCATTCTACTCTCAAGTCTTATGTTTTTTATGCACAAAAGAGGATTATTATTAAAATTCAGCCAGTGCATGGGAAATAAAAGGAAACCAGACGGAAATCCAAACCCCGGATTAGACTGGGAACCGGTTTCTTTCGCAAGCAAATGAGTAACGTGGCTCGGTGATAGCTTTACAAGGAAAAGGCTGGTGCTGCTAAACTAACCCGATTACCTGAAGGAGAGGTACAATCATCATGAGTGATAAGACCCGTGAAAAGTCAATCAAACGCATCTCAGGATATAGCATTTTTGAGAGCCAAACAATATGTTTCAAAACAATCAACATTATGTTACGGGCGTGGTTACGAGATAAAAAGAAGAAGAACGATAAGTATGATAGTTGAAAAAACAACACAGCTTCCCGCCCTAGGCAAGGAAGTATCCGTCGGTTCCACCTAGCGCACAAGAAGAATTATTCTCCAGAAGATTAACCCTAATTCTATTACAATACTTTTATTAGGAAATTAACTAAAATCGAATGCGTCTACTAATAGGAAACTGGAACTAATAATAACCTTAGGAAACTAACACCTAATACTTTAGGAAAATCACTTTAGGCAACTAATAATAAAGAATAGTAATAAGGATAGTAATAATGGGCTTCTTCTTTCCATATCATTACTCCCCTCTTGATCATCAAGCTTGTCCTCAAACTTGAAGCTAATAACCTGAAGTTTTCTGTATATTATTATTAATCGATATCTCTTTTACAAGAAGTACAAACCTATATATACTGGCAGAAGCCTGGGAGTGTCTATTGAGTACCCTAGGTGCTGTCCAAATACTAAACATAAATGAAGTTCTGAAACCTAGGACTGTCCAAATATATAATTTAATGAACACAAACTGAAAAGACAACAAATATTAATTACAACCTGGAGCACAAAAGACTCATAATTACAGTAATGATAAGGAAAGTAAATCCTAGATTAATCATGTCTCTTCGTTTTATCAACACTCCCCCTCAAGCTAGGTTTGTAGATATCCTTCATGCCTTGACAATAAGACTCTGAAACCTAGGACTGTGCAGTGAGTAGTGACTACACTTATTTTCTAGCATGTTTAAACCTTGTCAAGAATATATTATTTCATTTTCACACTATACATCCATGTTTGTCAACGAAATCTTCCAAGAGTATGTTTATCCTCATTACTAAAACATGGAAAAATCTTGCAGGTCATTGCTCTATATTTGCGGTCAAATCATAAGCAATTTAAAGAGAGTAATGAACTTGGTGGAGAAAATGACGAATCATGTGGTCAGCTAGTTGATCTTTACTAGAATTGTCTATTTAGACTTTGTGTTTCATCATCTTGCACGTTTTCTGTCTTGGATAACATTATTAGCATATTAGGTGAAATGGTGAATGTTATTTTTGGCAACTTAGAGGAAATAAATGACTTTTCATAGTGGCATCATCTTGCATCCAAGTATTTAATACTTTGGATAGTGGACATGATTGATGAGTAAATTTGCATGTGAATACCTAAAGTTTGACTGAGATGCACAACTTGTCACAATTTGATAGGAACTTCCAGAACAAACAGTAATATTAAACTATTATTTAATGAATTCTAAGTAAAACCTCAGAATCCAGTAAGGTAACAAGCAGAAAACCAGAGAATGAATAAGATGAACAGTATCGAGACACTTAGAGCAGTCTCCCTCTCCCAAGTCCCAGTCTAATCCCAATTTTTGCCTGCCTCCCTCCTTCCCTCTTTCCCCCTTTTATAAGATTTCTATCCTTAAGAGCCGGCCCAAGCTCCTGAATTACATGGCCCAAACCCTCACTTGTACACTAACAAATTATTTGATATTATTCTATTACTATTATTAACTCTAATTAGCCCGGGTCCCTATCATATCTCCCCCCTTAGACAACCACCTTGTCCTCAAGGTGGGTGATAGGAAACAGCCCTAACCAACATCTTCTTCTTCATCCTTGCGCCTCTTCCTTCCCAGTATCTCCCTGACGACTGGACCATGTGCTTCAATGCTTGAACCTCCAAATTTAGAGATGTTTCTGCCGCAGAAGTTATATCTGGTGAAGTTTCATTCTCTTCACTCGCTTTCAAGCCTTCAATAGCTACAAATGTTTCCTTGTGCTGTGCTTTTCCGTCTGTAGCAGTTAACTGCTTTGATATTGCTGCAACCCGTCTTTCCAGAAACAAACCATCATCCCCAGCAATGAGTGTGTCCATGTCTTTGACGAGTTGAAGGAACTTGTGATTATGAAAACTCCAAGCTTTGGCACTCTTCAACCCTGTGTGGATCTGCTGTTCTGTTAACTGCAGAAGAGTAATGACACAGTCCGCCAACTCCTCCTGGTTATGCACAATTACCGTTGCACACCTTTTGCTGTCAAGAAATCCTTCATTCAAGGCTTTTACAATACCATAATTCTTTAGGCAGGAAATTTTTAATCCTTTAACAGCCCCTGCAAGTCCAAACGCTGCTCCTCGGCGCTCCCCATACTGGTCACTCTTCATTAATTTATCTAGAAGCCTCGAAATAAGAACAGGCCCATCCTCCTGTTTTGATTGCATTAGAGGAGAAAGACAGGAGGAAACTGCTTGTTGAATAGCTTCAGAAGGAGTGTTCAGTACACCCAGCAACTTTTCAACAACAGCAAGAAACTTTGGATCATCCTTCGCCAAATGCTTTGCCAAGGCACACATGAATATCACAACACCTTCAAGCACCAAATCATATCTCTCTTCATCTGATGCCTTTTTGTTCAAGTGATTTTCAAAAATTGGGAATAGCAGGGAGACATTTTTATTTCCATGCTTGTCAATATTCATTATACCAGCATTAATCATTCTTCCCCAAACATCCACATTAGGATCAGCCAGCGCCCTTGATGTTAGGAAGGTCATGACAACCGGAAGTTCTTTGGTTCTAAGCACATCAGAAATGGAGTGTAAAGACAATGCAATCCCTTGGCTGCCTATTCAGCCAGCATCAATGATGTCCTCATCAAGTCCAGCCTCACGAATATACAATGAAAATAATGTTGATAGCGACTCCTGAATTGTATCAGGGTTATCATCTAAAGCTGCAGCAATTGCTTCAGCAGCAGCAACTCTAACGTTAAAATTGATGTTCGAAAGCGATTTGAAGATTCCTGAATTATCGGTCCCTAATTTATATCCATAGTGATCCCATATGTCCTCTGCAGCTTCAACAATTGTCTCTTCGAGCATAGCAGGCTTTGAAAGTGAGCTGGCATCAGCCTCAACATTTTCGGCTCCTTCCGGATTATCTGGTGGACGTCCCGTGGGTTGAATATCATCATCGTTCGTCTCCATAGATGAGAAATGAATGCCATAGATAGCAGCGAATGTGGTTATGTTTGACTCCCCTTTTAATATGGAAGACAAGGGTTTGTTCTCCAGTTCCCAGACCATAAGGCTTTCAATATTGTTCCCTCCAACGACTTTCAGCCTACCATCTGTGGTCTCAATAGCTAAGAGCTGTTGAATAGAGTCAAAAGCCAGGATAGATGCAATGGTTTCATAACCAACAGCAACTACTGCTTTCTTTTCTTCATCAATATGCAATTCTAATAGTGGCATACTGGCAATCAACTCCTTAGAATCTTCCAAGTAGCGACCTAACTGTTGATTTGGAATTTCCAAAACCTCAACAGCTTTATCCCTAGAACCAATACGTGTCTCGTGATCTGCATACTTCTTCACAATGTTCCCCTCAGCTATTTTCTCAGTTTCCTCTATACAGGCAGTCCAGGCACCAAAATTCAGAGAAATGGTTCTCACAATGTTCTCTAAGGGTTCCTCTTTCTGAGACATGGCAATATCATTTACTGACCGATGCATTGAGGTGGCATCATGTATAATGTCAGATGATATTCCATTCTCTATGACTCTATGGAATACTGCATCTCTCTCTTCGCTATCAATTCCATTAATAGTAGCAGTATTCGAGGTAGCTTGAGGCTCGTCTACTTGTCCTGTGACAGTAGTGACTTCCTGCTGAGCTAAGCCTATAGAGATTTCAGGAACCACTTTGTGCTCCAGTTCAGTAGTATTCGAACCAGCACTTTTATTATCAGCCGATTTATATTCCATGGCACTCGAGGCTTGAGTCACCACAGAAAATTTCTCCTCCCCTCCCTCATCACCATAGATGAACGCACCTTTGGAGGGAAGTTGTCGCTGACTCACGTACGGCTGACGGCTAGAAGCTGAATCAACTTGCGCACTGTGCGAAGCGGAAATATGCATTGAAACCTCTGTTCGCGGCGACGCGGGTAGAGCTGTGAACGAAGAAGCTTGCGAACTGGTGAACTCTGCTCGCGGTGAAGATGGATTATGAGAGTAGGCGATTGAGGAAGCTCTCGATCGGGTCTCAATCTGACGCAAACTAATAGCAGTTGTCGTCCGCGACCTGAGATAAAGAGTTCACGACTGCGAACTGGGAGACGAAGTTCGCGAGTGCGAACTGTGAGACGAATTGCGCACCTGCGAATTGGAAACAGCGGCTAACGTCGAGCATTGCTTTTCAGTTGGCCTACGATGTCTAGGAGGGCTCCTGGCTCTGCCTCGTCGCCTGCGACTCCGCTGTTTGATGATCGTCCGCAGATCGTTAATCATTTCTCGCTTGTCTCTATCCCATTTTGCGATTCCACTCTCCATTTTTTTTCTCTCTCTCCAGAATCGGCGCTCTGATACCAAATGATAGGAACTTCCAGAACAAACAGTAATATTAAACTATTATTTAATGAATTCTAAGTAAAACCTCAGAATCCAGTAAGGTAACAAGCAGAAAACCAGAGAATGAATAAGATGAACAGTATCGAGACACTTAGAGCAGTCTCCCTCTCCCAAGTCCCAGTCTAATCCCAATTTTGCCTGCCTCCCTCCTTCCCTCTTTCCCCCTTTTATAAGATTTCTATCCTTAAGAGCCGGCCCAAGCTCCTGAATTACATGGCCCAAACCCTCACTTGTAAACTAACAAATTATTTGATATTATTCTATTACTATTATTAACTCTAATTAGCCCGGGTCCCTATCACAATTGCTCACTAGGTTTAGAATATCAAAATAAATAACACAATTTTCATTAAGTTATTAGTCTCAAAAGAGTTTATGTCATTTCAACTTGAGTCAAATATCATATAATGCACATTTAATATCCTTCAAGACATGCTTACTTCACAAAGCTATTATGTCGTGCTTATTAAGCTTGCATTAGCAAACCATGTTGTGTATGCAGTGCTTAATAAACGAATGTTTACTTCACAAAGATTATAGCTTGCATTAAGTAGGTAAAGCCATATTTGTCCATCCGCACTTAATTGCGGCCAGGTGTGAAACTTTGATTTCAGGATCTTACATACAAGATGTTTTGTATGTAAAAATCAGGGTTCTGTTTGTGATTATAAAAAAAGTCAACAACACCTGCTAAAATTGCCCGAAGGGATCACACAATTACTAAGCAACACTTTAAGTGGTAAAACTGGGTAATGGGTATGCTTTTTATTCACCCATTATGTTTACGTCACCTTCCTTCTGTTAGGAATACAGTACGCTTACTGATTGTAATAAGCTTAGCATCATGTAACAGTCTATTGTTAGTTTGTTATGACTTCAAATTCTGTTATCAGTTAGTTAAGCTTTCATTACTATAAATACTTTGTACAGTTCATATTGACTAATGAGAATCTTCTTTCACCTCTATTGTATCTCTGTTACATGTCTGTTATGGTATCAGAGCATTAGCTCGATCCAGCCATGACGAACTCAAGCTCCACACCTGTTTCTTCTCCAGCTACTGAAAACATCACTTTTCCAGTAACATTCACACATCCTCTTCCCATCAAGCTTGATTCCAATAATTTTTTCTTCTGGAAACATCATGTTGAGTAAGTGATCCGCGCGCACAAACTTCTCAAAGTTTGTTGAAAATTCTGAAATACCAGATCAGTTGATTGCTAGCGGCTAATGTTGCTCACTTCAATAACCCTAATGGTAATGCTTCCTATAGAGGATGAGGCCGTGGAGGCTTCACCAGAGGTCGTGGTGGCCGTGCTGGAGGTCGCAATTCTATAATCTGTCAAGTCTGTGGTAAATCTGGCCATAATGCACTTGTTTGTTACCATCGCTACAATCCTTGCTTACATCACTCCCAGTCCTGGTACTCCTCCTAATCCTCGGAATCAACAATCAACACATTCGTACTATCCAAATCACCTGAATCAACAATATGTGTATGTTGTTCATTCTAACACACATC